CATGGGCAAACTACGGCCCACGGGCCGGATCCAGGCCGTTTGAAATGAATAAAACTAAAAAAAAAAAAAAAAAGACCGTACCCTTTTATGTAATGATGTTTACTTTGAATTTATATTAGTTCACACAAACACTCCATCCATGCTTTTGTTCCGGCCCTCCGGTCCAGTTTAAGAACCCATTAAGTCAAAAAGTTTGCCCACCCCTGCTCTAATGTCACAGGAATTCACCACCTAATGCCTAGATAACCATACTATCCTCTCCTCCCAGGAGTCCTTTTCAATATTTAACACATTGTTTGCAGGTAGTTTTTATCTTGCGCTAACAGGTGGCACGGGCCATTTTTGCTAATTTTTTGAGCAAATGGTAACGTTCAGTAAAATCACAATAACTTTAGTTTACATATTTATACGTTACCTGCATTCTACCACTAGTCTATAAAAAACGTATTAATACGTGTCCCACACTCTACTACCTCCAGTCAACGTAAAACGTATGTTTCCCGCATACATGGGCAACTAATAATTTATTTCTGAGACTTAATAGCTGTAGCTTTAGAGATTAGATTTATGAAGGGTGGGAAAGGCACACCCATGATACTGTACAGTATTCTCCTAGAGTGCCTGACCCCACCTAACGAAACTGCATTTTAACAGGGTCTCCTGGTGACTCATGTTTTCTCCCATGGGAATATTCTTTAAAACAATTCTCCTCCTACTCAGTCTGTCTTACTAATCATATTCCATAGTACACATATAGTACTAGGGGCCCAGTGCACAAATTTGTGCACCTTGAAAGGAACTGTGGGCCACAAAGCTGCAGTGGGCATAGGGGTGGATCTCGGCCCATCTTCCATGCCCCTGCCCAGCCCCTCCCACCCCAAATGCTCTGGCACCAGCTGTGGGTGTGAGCAGGACCATCGCCAGCAGCGGGTGCAAGAGGTGGCTGCAGGTCCCGATCGCCCCTCAGGAGGACGGGGAGGTGGAGAAACCCTGAGGGGCGATTAGGGCCGGCAGCTGCCGCTTGCACCCACTGACAGTGCCAAGCGATTGGGGCCAGCTCTGGGTGCCGGCAGCAGGTGCAAGCGCCAGGTGAGACTGCAGGGCACAGGAGCAAAGTATTTTCAGTAACTGCCAGAGGTTCGCCCCAATGACAGCGACGGGCAGCCTGCCTTGGTCTGGCGCCCCCGCTCACCTGCTCCACCATCTCGCTGCAGCTGACGCCTGCCATGTTCCACACATGCCCCCTGGCAGTCAGCGCACATCATAGTGACCGGTTGTTCGGTCTAGTTACATATTAGGGTTTATATCCTATATAATAAAGAGCTAATATGCAAATGGTTGTCACACCATAACAGCTCATTCAACACTGGGGAGAGAGGAATAGGGACCAGCCAGGCTGCTGCCCAGGAGAGGGAGAAGCCGCCTGCCCTGCAATCCCAGGTGCCTGTGGCTGTGGCCTGGGCAAAGCCGCCTGCCCACAGTCCCCCGCGGCTTCAGCCAAGGTGAAGCTGGCCCAGGTCCTGGGTGCCTGTGGCCGGCCAAAGGGAGGAAAGCCCAAGTCTCAGGTGCCTGCGACCGGCCTGAGGGAATCCTGGGTGTCCTGGGTGCAGTGCGGGTGAGGCAGAGGCAGTTGGGCAATCAGGCAGGCAGGCGAGTGGTTAGGAGCTAGCAGTCCCAGATTGTGAGAGGCGGTCAGACATCCCCTCAGGGGTCCTGGATTGGAGAGGGTACAGGCTGGGCTGACAGACACCTCCCCCCCTCTACGATTTTGTGCACTGGGCCTCTAGTATATAGATAATATAACATAGAAGTCAGTATACCATTCATTTAGATTTTAGTTTTCCACTGCAAATTACTTCATTGTACTTCCAGTACAAATCTGTTTTTTACCAGATTCAGATCCTCATTAAACCTGACAAAATGTCCTTCACTTGAAAAACAAAGCAAATCATGAAGTGTAAAATAGCAAACATTGTGGATTAGGCTAAAGAGCCCATTAAGTTCCTTCCCTTTCATATGGACTACAGGAAAGCCCTGAGTTCATCTAGTTTAGTCCCCACATTTTGTAGTCCCCAAAGTTACCTACTTTGTGAGCTGTGTCCTTAAACAGATGTTATGAGATACTTAATGTTTTTGATAAAATGTATGAGTGGACTACTTAAAAGGAAAAACTTCTAGTGAGGAATTTTAATGCCTCATCTCCAGTTATGCCATAAGTATACATCCCCCTCAGTAAGAAAGAATATACATGCTGGAGAAAAAAACAGAACCATTAACGTCAAGTTGGTCATGCTGCTGCCCTTCATTCCTACTTTCACGTTTTTCCCAAACATGCAACAGATCCTCCATCCTCAGTTTATTTCACAGAAAACAGAAGCAATAAAAACTTCCATGAAATCTCACCATATTACTACCATTCCTCATACCTATGAATGTTGCTTAGTGTCCTGCTGTGTACCCAGATGACATCCCTTTTAGCTACTCAATGACCCCTCAGGTGATCAATTTCCTTCTTACACATTCCCATCAAAAATGAAAGCTATAATGTCCTGCATCTTAAAATACCCTTTATCGCACATCCATTTTCTGAAAATCTCAGCTCTAATAGCTGCCCTTAATTCCTTCCAATCTCTGGCAAACCTGTTCCAGATTTTTGCCTGATCCCAGTGAAACTGCTTTGGTCAAACTTGTTATCGCCACGCTGGCCTATTTTCAGTCCTCATTTACTTGACCTACCAGTTAAAACTATTACTCATTTACCTTAGGGGACTACCCTTCCCTTAATGGCACACTCCCCACCCTACCTCACTGGCTCATTGTGGGGAGCAGCTATAGGGTTAAGCCTTGGACTGACCTCTTGGCAAAGTCACAAGTTCCAGCTTAGAGGGCACAATCCTCTTAGCATAATTAGGCTTGACCTTATGCTCCCTAGATCTTATCAGGGAAGCTAATGGGCTGAGGGGGGTGCAGGAAGTGGCCAAAACAAGTGAAACTCACAACAACAGTGTAACTATGGTAACCACTATCTTGTTTACCTCTGACTATAAAATAAAGGCTCAGCTTGCCTCTGGATCTCTCTCTGTGGCCTCAGCCAGGCACAGTAAGATCCATGGAGGCTAAAGAGAGCTATGCTGATCATCTGAACGCTGTCTCTGTGTAAATCATTCTTTGCCAACTCCCGTCCATACCTTTGGGAACGCTGGGGCTGGACCCCAGCAGCTCATCTCAAATCCAAACATACAAATGCATCAGTTCTCAGTCCTTTCTGTCCACTTCCTCCCATGGTGACCCCTTCCTGTCCCAGGATGCTTCCCATTGTCTAAGTCTCTCAGGCTACACTTGGGAGTTTCTCCTCAACTTGTCTCATTATGTACAACTGCCTGGTGGACATCCCCACTTAGACATCTAAAAGGCATTTAAAATGTAATGCCTGAAACCAAAATTCCTCTCTGTACACATCCCCCAATCTATTCTTTGTGATGTCTTTCCCACTTCAGTCAGTGGCCATTCTATTGTTCTGTGCGCAGACCAAAAACCGTGGTGACAACCTTTACTCCCATCACTCCACATTGTCTGTTGGCAAATCCTGTCTTCCACCTTCAGAATGTCTAGAATCCAACCACCTGAACAGCTTCCACCAGTTCCAGTCAGATTCAAACCTCTATCAGAACTTACCTTGTTATTCCAAGAGCCTTCGAGCTGGTCTTCCCACTTCCACCCCTGCCCCTTCCAGTCTATTCCCACTGAAGCAGCCAGAGATCAATCACGTCACTCTTTACCTCACTGGAGTCCCGCTTTATTCAGGACAAAAGCCAAATTCTTACACACCCGACCTCGTTTCTCATCTCATACCTTTCCCCCTCCAGCCACAGTGACCTGCTTAGTGTTCCCGGTACCTGTCAGGCATGTCTTACACTTCAGGATGTTGGCATATATTTCCTCTTCTCACGGATAACTATCATTCCCTCACTTTCTTTAGGTTTCTGCTGATATGTCACCTTCTCCCTGAGGCCTTCCTTGGTTACCCTAACAATAGCATCCTCTTCATTACTTCGCTCCCTTAGAACTCTGTCTGATTCACGTATGCCTACAACAATGTGTGACATGTAGGAATCATTTTCCCACTGAATTTGTGATATTTACCACCATCTGGCATACGATAGTATGTGTCTCTTTCACAAATGGAATGTAAGCTTCAAAGACAGAGAATAATGCCATTACACAGTAAGTGTTCAATAAGTACTTAGTGAATGACCAAATGAAATGAATGATAAAAGTTCTGTCCTTGAATTTTTAGTCAAGTGCTTGCCTCTTTACTAAAAGTTTAATATTAGTAGACTCCTGAAATCTTTTAGCAATTCAAATGTCACTTCTTTTTAGACAGTTCTATTAGCAAGTTTCCAAGGTAAAATTTTAAAATGTAAATCCCATTATTTTCTCTTCATACAAATAGCATAATATTTCTTTCTTTCTTTTTAAAAATCATGGTTTTTGCCCTAGCTGGTTTGGCTCAGTGGATAGTGTCGGCCTGCAGACTGAAGGGTCCAGTGTTCAATTCTGGTCAAGGGCACATGTCCGGGTTGCGGTCTCAGTCCCCAGTAGGGGGCGTGGAGGCAGCCGATCGATGATTCTCTCATCACTGATGTTTCTCTCTCTTTCTCTCTTCCTTCCCCTCTGAAATCAATAAAAACATTTAAAAATAATAATAAACACCATGGTTTTGTGAATGGAAATGGAAATGAAATCTTTCTGTAAACCTGCAACTTGCACAGACAGGGAGGCTCTGTACTATTGCTGGTATGTATATACCCTGCTGTTCAATCCAGCAGCTGCTGTTTGGTTGCTCCTTGCTTGCACCGTGCATGAATGGTTCTGTAATCTGAGAGAAGCTTTACATATATATCACCCCTTTAAGGCTGCTTGTGCCAGACATACTGGCCTGCACTGCAAAAAGAGTAAAAGTGGAAGGGTTTCTATGTATAATTGAAGGGCAAACCACACATTGTCATATAGATTTTAATAGATATTCTGATTAACTCATCACAGTAATCATTTTTACTGTAATGATATGCAGCTTTACTATACTAGTATAAATAAAAACAGATAAATACAGCTCTAGGCAACATCACAGGTTAACAAACTAAGCATTCTTCATGAACCAAAACTGAAAACAATTATTAGGAAGAGATGCTGACACCCTTGCCCATTCTCATCAGACCTTCTCCAAAAAGTGACGCAAATAAGGTGCTCCACATATTATTTGCCAATCAGCCAGGCACATATATTTCATGATCTCCGCTATTTCACAGTTTGGTGAAAAAGCAGACATACCTCAACCTATCAAGAAGAAAATTGGAACAGACCGTAATCCCAAAGAAAACCACTGAATGCATAGAAATATGGCACTTTTCCTGTATTTCAGCTGTAAGACACATCAGAGAGAGAAATACACCAAGAAGAAAATTAATATCCACCTGGAGTGTTCACCCTGAAATGTCAGTCTCTGAAGCAGGATAGGCAATGAAAGGAGGACCTAACATGAAAAACGAAATCCATGTAAAGTTTACTATGATGAAGCTACCTGCAAAGAAACTCGCTTCTCCTTCCAAGGCTTGTAACTGAGAACAAGCAATTCAGTTGTTCGGTAGCCAGTGCTGAGGAACTCACTCCAGCAGCGCCTTGCACGCTTCAGACAAGCTGGAGATAAGATACACACAACCATCGTTCAGAAATGATCGTACTCTGGATGGTCAAAGAAACTTTAAAGGGGCCAGAAAACTTCAAGTCTGCCAAAGTGGGGAGGTGTCTTGGACAAAGTACCAATTTTAGGCAGATAGCAAAACTAGAATGTTTCACGGAGTTTCTAAAATTTTGTTCAACTTAACAATTGTCATTCTAATATGGCTTCATGATCTTATAAATCTTCAAGATTTTACCCATTTTATGTGATCTTACAGATCTATTAAAAACTAGGAAGTGAAGACTCACTTCCAAAAAAGCAGCTCAATGCCAGTTTGTTTCAGAAAATGTCTGCAAAAAATCACTTTCCAACCCAAAATGCATAATCACAGAATATTTAGGCCGGTCCTTCAAGAAAAGTACCTTTGCCGATAGTGAATTAAGACCATGATTAAGACAGACATTTCCAAAAACAATCCCAAACATACCCCAATACATTTTCAATTCATCCTGCAAAATATGCACTGTGAATAGTCAAAACATCGTTGAATACCTCTGGTTGTGACATACCCGAAGATTCAAAGGTTATGTTCTGATTACAATTTTAACTGCTATTTTTGCAATTTCATTTGATTTTTTTAAAGGTAAACACTATTTAATGTTTGATTTTAATCTTCAAAGTGATTTGTAGTGTTTCAATTTTCCATTAATGAGTCAGAATGGATAGGTCAGATGACAGAATCCAGGGGATGGCAGTGAAAGATCAGAAAAAGGTTTATGTACACATTAGATCATAAATAACCACATCCTCTCTCAAACCCTTGTTCCCATTGTAAACTTTGTTCATATCTCCATATTTGTAAGTCAGAATTAGTCTACAAAAATCACATTAAAAAGGTAAAATTACTTAAGTGAGATATTAACTGATCTGTATTTTATAAATTTTAATCCATAAAAATATAAATAAGAATGGTAAATTTTTAAGAAAAAGAAATATACATTAGTGCAAGTTATGAATTACATTTCTTCAGTGTCAGCAGTAAAATATCTTGAGGAAAGCAAAAAATTACTGATCTAATTTCAAGAAGAAAAAAAAATTCCAGTGTTTAAACATGCAGTTAATTCCAGATATAGCTAAACAGAATAGTTACTTCTCTTTACTGTCAGAGCAGTAGCACGGTGCTTCCTTATGCTGAACAGTACTTGTATTTCATAGCAGTTTTAGAAATAGAAAATATGCATAAGACCAGGTCACATTATCCGTAAAATCTGAGAGTGGGGAAAACAAAAAGATTCTGAACTACACAGCACACAAGCTGAGAGATCTCATTCATGCTTCACTCAAGATTGTACCTGTGTGATCGGCCTTTGTTATGGTGCATGTGTCGGCTCCAAGCATTCAGTGATGGTAAAAAAAACTACATGGTTAGTGGCATAAGAAACACTCCCTTCTTGTGATGAAACCTCAGTAAAATCACAGTACATCTCAATATGAGAAAGGATTGCTTCAAAAGGGCACACCAATTTAAAGAGGCTTTGTTACAGAGAGAGAAAGAAAGAGAGAGAAGCTCTTCTGGAATGTAAAAAGGTAATGCTTAACTATACAATTCATGAATTAAACAGAACAGTTTTGATTAAAAAAGGGCAAGACCTGCAGTCTTATAGATGGCTCAATTCAAAGTAACCCCTCCAGAAACGGGGACTGATAACACGTCTTTGCGATGTTGGAGTAACAGGCCGGGTGCTCCAGGGCTCCAGGGCCCTCTCCTTTGGGGCTCAAGTCTGCACTTTCATGGCACATCCTCAGCTGAACGCATCCAGTGCAGAACGACAGGAGGTGGCTGGCTGCTCTCCTTAGACGGGGAAATACCTCACTCATTTCCTTCTCTCTCCTTTCCCTCCCCCAAACAATTCCTCCGTTCCACCAGCATTATTTGCAAACCATGTTGCAAAAGCCTGGCTTTTATATTTTCTTTTTCTTTCTTTTTTTGTTTAAAGGAGAACTATAGGTAGACGACTCCCTCAGGTTACAGAGTTGTGCTATTCAACAAATGAACTTCCTCTTCTGCCTCCTCTCTGTCCTCATCTACGAGGTTCAGTTGAACATTACCGAAGCGGGGTCTTGGTTTGCCGTCTGGGCCATATGACGGAGGATATCTTTTTTTGTTATAATGCCAAGGAGGCGCCTGAAAAAAATAAAGAGAAGACTGCCATTAAAATAAAAGGGAAAAAGAAAATGAGAAGCTACATTTATAGCTAAATCCTTTTTGTTGACAGGAATAGAGCAAAGCAAGTGCCTGATATTGTACTTTCAAAAATATTTTATTGGTAAAGATAATCCAATTACCCAGCTACCATCCTTTGATATAAAAAGTATTATGGTCACTAATAGTACAATGTTCTTTCCACTGAGACTCTCATTGAAGTCGAGCTATTTTGACTAATGAATGCCAATAAAAAAGTAACAAAAAAAATGGGAGGATGTATGGAAAAGAAACTATACTCATCCCATTTGAGAAGGAATATACATTCCTATCACACCAAAAAAGCAGTAAAATATTTGATGACCAAATCCCCTCAATATTCCATTTTTTAAAACTAAAATTAACTTTTAAAAAACAGGTTGCCCAGTTGTATGCATAATCTTCATGAAAGCACATACAATTGTGATAAAACGGTCAACACAGAATCTCAACAGCAAACTTCAGAAGCCAGAACAAATCCATAAGACAACCCAACACTCATCAATGTTTTCCTTTTTTGATTTTGGCCAAAAAAGTTAAGATAGAGTGCTTTTATGAAAGTCTTAGTTGTTAATGCTTACATTAAAAGATAGACGAAAAAATCAAGAAGCAGTCCTAAAATGTTATAAGTGAAGCACAAAGCAGGATGAATGAGTAGCTACTTATATTCTGATTAGTAGTTTTTTTAAAAGGATGCATGAAACACTTGTGAAATATTAGCATACAACAGGAATACACAATCAGTTGTGTATTAAAGAAACTGGGACAAGTTTATATAGGTATGGCAATTGCACGGCAAAATAATTTCAGACATTTATTGCTAAAGCCAGACAATTTTTAGGTTATGAGGTAAGATAATAATTCAAAATTTATCTTTAGTCATTAAACCACTAGGAAGGACATAGAGTCTGTTAGAACAAATGCATCTGACCCTAAAAACTGCTTACAGCACTCTAGAAGCATCATACAAAAGGGGCACACACATATTCTAGGTCCAGTTCACTAATGAAATGGCAAGAGACACATTATTGACTTTGAAAGTACTGAGGGTATGGAGGGTATAGCAGAAAAAGAACTAATGCTATGCTCACACACATATATATACACATACATATTACGCTCCAGTTAGTGTGCCCATAAAAAAATCCATTTAATTGTCGGCAAATTTAACATTGCTAAGCTCAGTTAAAATGATTTGTGAGCTTAGATTTACCACAAGACTACCACAAGATCAGGAAACATTTTATTTTAAAGGAGGGGGAGGGTTTGGGGTGACGGGTAGACATTTGTAACCAATCTGGCATCCTCTGAGACTGGTGTAAGCACTAAAGTAGACAGATATGTTGTGTTACTTTAAAAATGTCCAGTAATATTTACTCAGTCAACTGCCGAACTCTTTACAGTTCTTAAATTGCAACTAATGATTTTGATGAGATGTTAACTTTTGCTTACTTCCCATGAGTGAAATTTTACATACATTTAAATTTATCTTACAGGCATATTATGAGATAGAAGTGAAATTGGCAGCATGTAGGCCTTTGCTGGGCAGGTGTCTGGGAAAGAGAGGACTGAACAGTTCACAAGTGTCATGCCTCCTGACGTCTAAGGTGTCTAATGAGGAGATCTCATATATCTAATCACCAAGGGTTCGACGTGCTGCTTTAGTTGCTCGAGATGCTCTAATATGTTCTTCTTTGTGATGATCCCCAAGACAATCCTGAAACAGATCATGTTATGCTAATAACTGTGAGAAATTAAATTAAAAGAGGTTCCAATCACAATGATAATGAGAGAAAGAATAAAAACATGGACCGTACGAATGCTTTTAATGAACTCTAGAAAAATAAAAACAAAAATGGTTTGAAATCCCAGGTCCCAATTGCATAAATTCTACTGACTTTCAAAAGTGACATGGTGCTATTTTCAAATACTGGTGGGTTAATTTCCTTGTTAAGTTAAAAATCAAAATGATAAAAGTTTACAATGAAGATGACTACAAAGAAAAGTACAAATAATATTAATACACAACTATAAAATTCTGAAATTTATTTTCATTTTCACTGTTCCTTCCTTTGAAGAAAATGTTTTTCTAATATCTAAAATGTCACAGTGCAGCAGGTATTTTCTGGATCTACCTCAGCAATGTAAAGACAGGAGAAGTCTCAACTTTATTGCCTATGAGACTTGAGAAAGCCCTTTATTTTACTATTACTTGAAATTAAAATTAAAGGCAGTGTGTACCAAATAAATAGTGCTGACCAACAGACACCCCATAATTTTCAGGACCTACTGAATGCTACTTCTTAAAGTAAGCAAATAAGACTTGTTTAAGAAGATTAGGGGGTCAAAATCACTTTTACTTTATGAATTTTTTTCTAAATGATTCCCAGTTAATATATTATTATTATAACATAAAGCAAAACAATGGACATAAATTCTCTGGATACTTGAAAATAATTAAACTTTTGCCCTAACCGGTTTGGCTCAGTGGAAAATAATTAAACTTTTAATTATTAAAACAAAATTCTGGTTACCAGTTTTATAACGAAAGTCAATGAATTCAACTACAGTATATGACAATATAGACAGTGAGTGTCAAAAACCTTAAAAAGTGCCCTGGCTGGTGTGACTCCATTGGTTGGGTGTTGTCCTGTGCACCAAATGGTCATGGGTTCGATTCCTGGTCAAGAGCACATTGCTTGGGTTGTGGGCTCAATCCCCAATAGGGTGTGTGCAGGAGGCAGCTGATCAATGTTTCTCTCTCTCTCTCTCCCTCCTTCCCTCCTTCTTCCTCTCTCTCTAAAATCAATAAAAAGATATATATTTTTAAAAACACCTTAAAAAGCTTTTAATCTTTAAATTTGGGAAGCCCACCCAGAATTCCCTTCAGGGTAATTGAACGTATTTATATTTCCTTGGTGATCAGGTTAAGTGAACTTTAATCTTTTTAAAAATATATTTTATTGATTTTTACAGAGAGGAAGGGAGAGGGATAGAGAGTTAGAAACATTGATGAGAGAGAAACATTGATCAGCTGCCTCATGCACACCCCCCACTGGGGATGTGCCTGCAACCAAGATACATGCCCTTGATCAGGATCGAACCCGGGACCCTTCAGTCCGCAGGCCGACTCTCTATCCACTGAGCCAAACTGGTCAGGGCAGGTTAAGTCAACTTTACTATTAAACTGCCTTTGAACATTCTGACTTCTTGAAGGGTGTCACCAGGGGACTTCACATAGTCAAAGTAGCTTGGTCCTACGATAAGTCAGTTATAAAAGAGTTCCTTAGGGTGGTGCCTGGATGTGAAGGTTGGGAAGCAGGGAAGGTAGGGAATAGGAAAGACATAAATAGGTTCTATGCCAATGTTTTTCATTATTTTTTTTTAATAATGTACTGATCACTGAGAACAAGATAAACTGAAAAGTTTACAGAGCACGGGAGCAAGATCCCCACACTGTACCACATAAAATAAGCACTCACTCAAGTAGATGTTCTCTGATGTTTAAAGTCAAATAGACAAGAAAAAAACATCAATTCACTTGAATTTATACTTGTAGTCATGAAATGTGAAAATCTTGACAATTAAAGTTATTCTAATTTAATTCTTATTTCATTATTTCTATCTAATTATAGAGTGATTAATTTTAATTAATATATTAGTAAGCTCTGCCAAAACACAAGGTACACAATGAAAAAAAAATTACAAGTTTTTAAGAACCAAATGGCAAATTTAGAGATTTACAAAGCAGTGATTATATTTACAAAGTAATAGCCCTAAAAAGAAGAAAATACATATATCCCCTTCTCTTTAGTTAATGGAGAAAAGTGATTTGAGCATAATAAGGCCAGTTCAGTGCTGCTTTGTTAATTTCAGGAAATGTAAGGAAAATCAGTGCAAAATGTGACTCATGTAAAGACTGATTTGCTGTTTCTTGTGGGCTAACAATGATGTAAGAGTTAACAGAGCATGACCCAACATTTTTCAAAGTCTGTCTCAAGAAAAACCAAACATCAGAGTTCTAACCCCATCCCTCCATCAAAAAAAGGTTTAATATTCAAATAAGCTTGGAAAATTTTTTTTTCTATTATCCCATTTGAGAATCAAATAATACCAACATTTTATAAGTTCTGAGAAGTTCCAAATAAATAAACCTCAATTATATTTAATCCAATACTTTCCGAACTTATATGATCACAAAACTCTTTTGGGACAATGCCTACTGACATCCTGCTAGTTTTACCAAGACTCGAAGATTCTGAGAAATTCTGCTAATTAAAATTAAAAGTTAGACATCTATAACTGGCATCTTTACAGACATACTTCCCTTGTCTCTCTGGTCTCATTTTCTCCTGGCATCCAAGGTTACAGGCTTGTTATATCCCTTCCCCCAAATAGTTATTCTCCACCTCTAAGGACCTAGTAGAAACTATAAAATGTGAGCAATTATCTGGAACTTCATAGTCTATACTAAAAACCAGAAGATATAATTTTTTTTCTGAGTTTAAATCTTAAATTATTTAAAGTGAGAATAAAACACTACTTTCTTACACATTTCACAGAAAAAAAACTCCAATAGCCACCACCCCAAAGGATCTCTTCTTTTTTTATATTTATCAATCTGTTTTCCTTACAGGACAGAAATAAGGAAAATATAATCAGGGCAATTAAATGTGTTCCTTTCACACACACACACACACACACACACACACACAACACAAGCTTTCTTATAAACAGACAGTATCAGGTAAGATTTTAATTAACTATCCTCCATTTCCCCCACTTCATTCTTTTTTTACACTTTCTTCTAAATACACTTTCTAATGTCTGTGCTACCGAAACCTGAGAATTAACCAGCAAAGGGAAATATGGTAATTAACTCGTATAGCTTTGTGGACATAGTTAATCATGACTAGAGAATGACAATATATTTGGTCCTACATAGAAGAACACACCGTGGCAAGCACAGAGAACAACTCAAAACAAGTAAAAGTTCATAACAACTCATCTTAGCTTCCCACTAAATCATTTATAACTAAAAGGGCCCAAGAAGCAGTAAACCTTTATGAAGTTACTCCATTTAACATGTACTCATTTTTAAACAGTGAAGTTTGGTACCATTATTTTTCACATTAAACAACACTAAAGAAAAAGGTTCTTTTACTACATGCGTCTCTTCCCATCAATATCTGTAATATTTAACAATTCCGACCTCCCTGCCCTAATCAAGAACTTTATCTCTTTAATGATTTACTTCATATTACCTCCAGTTATTTTACCTGGCTAGCACAGTGAAATCACTAAACATGGATATCTTTCTAGCTTTATATTTCTATTCCTAACACAATACAGTATCATATATGTCCAAGAAAATAGTAGGTTACGATTCTATCAGTCAATTACATTATAAAACAATAGCAAGACATTGGGTTTTAAAACTGGGAAGATATTTTATTCCCTGATCTCTGACTTGCTAACCACGTGACTAGGCAAGTTACCAAACCTCTTCAAGCTCCATTCCTACATCTGTAAAGTCGGGATATTGCCACCAACTCTGCAGAGGGGCTGCAAAGTTAAATGAGCAAGGTATTCACTAAACAAATTTCCTTTTTTTTTGTCCTTTCTCCCTCTTTTCTCTAGATAGGGGGTCATATATTTTGTACAAAATGATATTTTAGAATACCTGCTGTATTCTGTTTGGTATTTCAATAGCTTTAGGCTATGCATGCAGTTTATGCACAATCTTCTGTTCCTCATTTCTAACCTTCCATTTCAGCCCTCAGGTAAAACATCATTCTTAAGTATCTCAACTAGGAACAGTAACATAAAGGGGGGAAAGGGGCTAGAGAGAGAATGGGAGGGAAGCAGGTCCCAGGTCAGGAACAGAGGGAGCAGAACATGAGGGAGCAGTATGTGATCAGGGAATAATCCTCTGCGCTACTCTCCACAATCCCTGTGACATTTGCCAAACGCAACCTTCCTATTTCCCCACCCTCAGAAATACTGGCAGTTTGTGTGTTAAGGGCAAAATAATCAATTTGTGCATTTTTTAAATTCATGAGTATTTGTATGTAAAAGGCCTGTGAGTGGAGAAGGTAGAAAAGAGGAAACAAAGCATTTGCTAAAGGAAGTTTTCAGCTAATTTACAAATTTCATTTAATTATGCATTATTTAATTATATTTCATTTAATTATATATATTCCCTTGTTACATGATAAATTAAATAACGGCTGTCACAGTAAACAGCAGAACATCTAGAAAGTTATACTGCACTAGAAATACATATTTTAAAACTGAAAGACAAGAGGAAGCACGTGTTGGCAGTCCTCCACACAGGTCAGGGCCACCTCTCGTCCACGGGAGGAAATGCTCGAAGCACCACGTAGGTGCTGAAGATGTTTCAGCATCTCTCTGCCTGACAAGTGTCACTACACTTTGGCAAAGGTCTGGGAGTTGACATTTTTCTTATTCTCTGGTGTCAATCTGATTGATCTTGTATTTATAGCCACACTAAGAGCCAGACTTTCCCACTTGGGAGCTGATTACACTCTCTATTAAGTGCATATGAATTCCACTAAAAGGGATAAAAACCTCTGACAAGTGAACTGATTTTTTGATGAAACTTACCCATTGTGAGTTACAAGGCACTGCCTCAGGCCCAGCTTTCGGAAAATATCCACCACGATCTCCATGGGGGTGTGGTCCGTCACTGTGAAAGGGCTCATGTCAAGAATGCTGCGAAGCTTCAAGGGCCGCGGACTTTCTGCTGGCAGAGACGGGGTGTGCTGTGCAAAGCACACGCGAGAGCTGCCCACGATACCTTCTTGTTTCTTTCTGGCACTTTCTGAAGAGACAGAGAAGACCAAAAATTAAATTTGACAGGTTTTTTTTTACTTTAAGGTCAGAGATTAAACAAATAAAGCAATGTTTCCCATGACTTTTGGTCCCTTCATTTTTCCTGTCTTCTTAAACAAGAAAGGAATAAACTAAAAAGTCAGCAATTTCTTATATTTGACAGAATCAGAACCCATCACCAACACACCATCTTCATGTAAATAAAATATGTTTTGGTAAACCAAGGTTCAATTGTCTTTAGTGGCACTGGCCCTGTTTATTAACTCTGGATGGGGATAAGGAGGCATGTTTGGAATATGAGATTTTTAAACCTGCACAAATTATAGGAATCCATCTTTGAGTAACACCTGCCTGTGCCAACAGTCACTTTTCCTGCCTGGGAGGTGGGACTAAAAAGAGCTTCATCCTTGCTTTGACAATGGTGTGTACTTCACCACTGTGAATTAGCTCCTTCTCTCTCTTCGCTAATGTTAATGTTTAATTTTCTAGATGAGTCACAAGTATGAACAGGTGGGTGAAACAACAATTACGCACATAATGGGCACAGACTGACTTCCTAGGTTTGATCTGAAAGGCTGTGATAATTGCCCCCTCCAGTGTGCTCGGCCTCACATGCTTCGGTCCTGCTGCCTACCTCCACTCCCCACTCTGAGTGCTAGACAGGAAGTGGCAACGAGGCAGAAAACTACAGAGGAAAGGGAGAGATCATGGGAACAAGAAGGAAATCCGTGAAATGGAGAGAATGCAAAAATAAAATAGCCAGCTTTATGCATTTATTTTGAGTTTAGTGTGTATTCAAAACTGTCCTATAAAAAGGTATTTTATATATTATACTTATATGTGTAAAACCTAACATACAGGTCCACTTTTCCCATTCAAAAACGTAAACTTTACAAAAATATATGGGGATAAATACTTAAGGTGTGTTTGAAGTCATGTGACTAACATCTCTGAGGATGTGGCTTGATCTCACCTATCTAAAGTACCTCTATTTCTGCCCTAATCGGTTTGGTTCAGTGGATAGAGCGTCGGCCTGTGGACTGAAGGGTCCCGGGTTCGATTCCGGTCAAGGGCATGTACCTTGGTTGTGGGCACATCCCCAGTAGGGGATGTGCAGGAGGCAGCGGATCGATGTTTCTCTCATCGATGTTTCTAACTCTCTATCCCTCTCCCTTCCTCTCTGTAAAAAATCAATAAAATATATTTTTTTAAAAATAAAAATAAAAATAAAGCACCTCTATTCCCTTGTGAACACTATCTGCCAACCCCACATTCTATTTCTCAAGATAATAACAAAAACTAAAAAATACATCCACCGACTCAGTGAGAATGTAATTCTTAACTTTACCACCTTCTTCTTTTAAAAACCTGGCCTTCTTTCTTTAAATTTCTATGTAAATTCCAAAATTCTGATCTTCTCCGTTTCTTTGCCTGGCTTCCCATTCTATTAAAACCTAAAGAATGGGAATCTAAACAATGAAATTAAACTCTCTGATTGCAGGTTTGCCATGGCAATGACTCAGAAGCTGAAACACTTGAACAGAGACAAGTCTGACCACATACTTTGCCCACTCTGGCAACTACTATTGTATTACTTAGAGCAAAACTTGGAATGATGGGACCGCCGGTCTTTGAAAAAGTCTTCTAAAGCTGTAAGCCTTTTCCTAAACTGAGTAGGATATTCTCCGAAAGCTATTTCCTTCTCTCTTTTTTTCTACTTTAATAGCTCTTGCAAATTGAGTTTCTTTCCAGTTTGATTGGAGAAATACTCTCATCTACACTGTCTAGTCTTTCCTCTTGCAATGGCACAAGAATGGAAATATTTTACAATCCTTCTGCAATTGCCACAGGGATAAGTTGAAAGGGGGATGACGGGCTCACATGAATGACCTTTGGAGACAGGGCAAATGCTTGACACTTCCAGCTCAGGGGCCTCTACTAAAAACTGCAGAGTATCAAATCAATTACTTAATGAAAATATTCTCTATCACCTTTGGAGGTCAGAGGGGAGAGAGGGGAGACAGTCAGCTGTGTAGAAAAGGACTAGAAGCCTTATGGGTCTCCTTATTAAGACTGTAGTACTACTGGGTAAGAGGAAAAATTAATTTTGGAGGAACACAATTGCTTCCTCCTCGGGGAAAAAGTTTAATTTATTTCCAAGAAATAACAGTGTGCCTAATGCCTTTAAATTTTTTCAGGAATGTTAGCTCAAAATACAATAGCACTTACATACTTTTTCAACCTGACGTTTAACCAAAAATAAAATCTCAATGACTTTTTTCACTTTAAACTAGATATTACAAGTTAATATTATAAACCTAAACCCAAAAACTAAAAAAACAAGATCTTGTGAATCTGGTATGAAACAGACCAATGAAGATGGAATTTTCAATAACTTGCATTCAAATAAGCCAACTTTATTAAATAGAAGAATGTATTTTGCTGGATGCCCTGGCACTTGCTAAAGTCTTATATGTTCATTAAGAGTAATTATATAATAATTAAGAAAAATCAACTTAACAAGGCTTATCTGAGGGGGTGAGGGGTGGGGAAGTATCTGAGTCCAAACTAATAACAATGCCAAGTCAAAGATAAAACTCTATTTAGCAGGAAAACAATCCATGGAAGCATAAATTCCTTTTCTAAAGAATATAAGACCTGCCTTCACAAACCCAACCAATTAAACTTTATTGCTTCCTATCTTCCAGAAAGCTACTATATATCTATATCTACCTAGATATCTAGATACTGATACTTATAAATGTGTATTTTTTTTTTTTTTTAGAAGGTACCTATTGCAATTGTCAGGTCTCTTCTGAGGGCAAATCCTACTAATCTCTGAGATTCTTTTGACATTATGACAGGAAAGCCATTGTAGCTGGTTTCATTAATCATGTTTTCTATGTCATCCACTGTCATGTTGTCTTGTGTCAGGACAGCTAAGGGAGGATCATTCCTTCGAGGTCTCATGACATCAGCAGCCAGGGTGGTATGAGTGAATTCTTCTTTTGCATCCAAGAAAGGGTATCCATTTAACCGAATGTGCGCTTCATAAATGCCTTCCCTACCAAAGGCGTCTCCAACCCATTTACTGGTCATTACTGCAGCCATAAGGGGGACAATATATTCCAGGCCTCCAGTAAGCTCAAAAACAATAACCACCAGGGAGACGGTCATCCTTGTCACTCCACCTGAAAAAAATAAGCATCACTGGTCAGGAAGGACAGGAGCCTCATCAATACTTGCTAGTAGAATTTTTGCACTAGGCAAGTGAATACAAACTTAGTGAAAAGGATTATCATCGAAAACTCCTATTAGGACAATTATTACTATTTTAATAATATCTAAAAGAACACCAATCATCTTTGTTTATAACACAGAAGACTTGAAATAACATTTCAAAACCTGCTTGCTTCATATAAAAAACCACAGCTGTCCAACCAAAACAACTTTGCCATTTTGGTTCACTGCGATAGCAAAGACATAATTTCACCCTTATAAAAGATCATTCATTCTCAAGGAATCTGGTGAAGCACATCATAGCTATCTTGTTTACTACCAACTTACAAATGAAATTTATATGTGGGTAGAATATTAATTTACTGTATTTCTCTCCTCTAAATCTTTTCAAAATAAGCAAAATGTTGATGCCTTGTGGTTTATGGTAGCAGTATAATATTCCCTCCCTCAGAAAACTCATCTATTCATTCATCTATCCCAATCACCATTCTGAACTACCTTCTCTATGCCAATGCCTCCCCCACATGTCTCCCTCTACGGCTGCATTTGCCCCATGTCTCCAGCTGTGCACGCCTTATCTTATTGTGCTTGTCTTGACTTCCTCTAAAAGGACAGTGCACAAGCACTGTCACAGAGAACATCACACACTTAAAACTAAACTCTTCTTCCTAAAGAGCTCCCCATTCCAACTTCCCTGACTCCAACAGCCTGCATCACATTCTTCCTGACAACCTAGGTAATCATTCTTGGTTCATCCTTTTACTTTATCCCAACATCTAGACTCTCACCTAGTCCTATCTGATTTCCTCTGCAAAATATCTATGGGTATCTTTTTTGAAATTCTCACTATTCCCAACCTAGTCCAGACCCTCAAGACTTTGTTCCTTGATTTTAATACTATTTTGTGTTACCTCCTTAACTCCAGGCCTATTACCTTCAATCCACTTTCTAAGCCATGTTCCCAGGTTAACCTTTCCTAAGTAACACTTTCACCATGTTGCTTCTTTGCTCAGAAACCTATCAGGGCTCACCAATTCATTCTATATTAAGCTTAAACTCTTCCTTCTTGTTTTTTAACCTAAAAATAGAAGGGAGAAAGAACTTACTATTATCTATCTATACTCTGCCAGGCATGTCCTACTCAGTTTACAAAAGTATTTTTAAAAATTATTTTTTCACGAAGAACTTATTTTACCAGGCACTATGCTAAGAGCTTTATATACATTTTATCTCATACTAGTGACCCGGTGCTCAAAATTCATGCACTGGGGAGGGTCAGGGGGTTGGGGGGAGTCCCCAGCCCAGCCTTCACCCTCTCGCAGTCTGGGACCCCTCAGCAGACATCCCTCTTGCAATCCAGGATCCCTCGCTCCTTACTGCCCACGTGCTTGTTCACCCCTCAGCTCGCTGCTCCTTAGCGGAAGGGTCCTTACCACCCGTCTCCTTACCGCCTGGCTTCTGGCTGAACAGCGCTCCCTGTGGGAGCACACTGACCAGGGGGTAGCTCCTGCGTTGAGCGTTTGCCCCCAGGTGGTCAGTGTGCATCATAGCGACTGGTCGTTCAGGTCATTCTGCCATAACAGTTGCTTAGGCTTTTATACAGTAGGTCCTCAGGTTACATCAGAGATCTGTTCCTATAGCTCGATATAACGCAATTTTCGCCGTAATTTGGAACCCACCTACATAAGCACCTACGTCACTCACATGGAGCACATACAAAGCAGTAATGAAGTGAAAAAGTAAAACAAATTTAAAAGAAATATAACAATTCCTAACCTTTACTTGTGGTAAATAATAAAAAACATAAAGCACATATGTACATACGTCGAAATGACAGACTTTTTCTTTTTATAAGTAAATGGGAGATGGCGACGTAACCACGAAACGACATACGTCGAGTCCGACATAACCTGAGGACTGCCCGTATATAGATAATCCTCAAAACAACTGTAAGATATAGGTAGTTATTAGTTCCATTAAAAAAATGTTTTTAGAGGAATTAAAGGAACTTTCCCAAAGTCTTCAAGCTACATGTGGCAAAGGCACAACTGCCAAGATCTGACTGATTCCTAATACAAATTCATCCTAACTTAAACCATGGCAACCTCACAGTCTGGGTCCTTCCCACCATCCAACCTTTTGTTTCCCAAAAGTACCCAAAATGCATTCTGTACTTCAATACTGTCAGTTTCTTCAGAGGCCCATGAATACTATTCTAATTTGTCTTCACATTATTATATTCTTCAACAAAGTCCTCCAAATTGTATTACTCTTTAAAAATAAAGTTAACGTTTTACCCTAAATTACTTCAGCTCTTTTTTTCCTCTAGATTGCTACAATTTTCATAGACTCTTGCAGTACAATATATAATCATTATGTATTGCTCACTATTGTTTTCTCAGTGTGGGTCTTGTCTACCCAACCTGATTATAGTTGAGGTTGGGTTCATGGTTTATACTTCTTTTTCTATGACTCAATGCGCCTAGCAGAGTGCTAAACCGAAAGTGGGTACTCAATAAATACTTGCTACGTTAGTGAAAATGATTCTGTCCTTCACTTTCACTTGATATTATACTGTTGAAGATTAAAAATTACTTTACACAATTTTGATGTATTGAACAAAAATAAGTCAAAATACCAACAATTATTAAATATAACCAAAGTTTAGCTGATATTTTAAATATAAAACAACTACTTTTCATGCCCAAGAAGACAATAAATAAACTTGCAAATATTTTGCTTTTCTTTTCTTTAAAAGAGTAGTGACTTTTCTCATTTTTCTATAACTACACCTTACATGGGGGAGGATTAGTAAAGAAACCTTTTACTGAGGCTAAAAATAAATCACTGCAGAGCCCAAGTAAAGGTACTCTGTAGCTTTGCTGGCATGCTAACCTAGGAACCAGGCTATAGCTAGTGGAGGGAAGTTAAGATCCTTGACAATGAAAAAAAACAAACATCTTCTTGGACAGGATTCAAATTAAGCCTAAGATGTTTTCTATCATAAAGCATTAAGTGATATTAAAAAGTTTAAATTAAATTTTTATTAAATTTTTGCATTAACAAATTTTCAGAGGCAGGTAAAATAAAACCTAATACTGTTTATTCTTATATAAAAGGCTAGTATGCAAATAGACCAAACAGAGAAACAACTGGTTGCTATGATGCGTACTGAGTACCAGGGAGCAGATGCTCAATGGAGAGCTGCCTCCTGGAGATCAGTGTGCTCCCACAGGGGGAGCACCCCTCAGCTGGCTCATAGCTGGCAAGCACCGCGGCAGTGGCAGGAGCCTCTCCCACCTCCACTGCAGGCGTGTGAAAAGGAGCCAGGGGTCCCGGAATGTGAGAGGGATATCTGACTGCCAGCTTAGGCGGATATCCCCTGAGGGGTCCTGGGCTTTGAGAGGGCCCTGGTCTGGGTGAGGGACACCCCCCCCTCCAGTGCACAAATGTGTGCACAGGGCCTCTAGTATCATATAATAGTAGTACTATTTCATTTCTGTGAAAACACTCTCTTCCTCTGTCCTGTGCCTCACCTTTTCCCTAACCCCACCCCACCAATTAAGCACAAGCAAGCTCTTACTCATTTTCTCTCTCAGACTCACAGGCATCCAGACACAGACAGACACAGTGGTTGTTACCTAAGCATGCGGCAGCACCAACCATGGCATAGAGGCCAGGAGTAATGCAGTCAGCCCCAACCTCACACCACTCCTTAAAGATAAACCAGTCATGGTGATAATATGCAAGCTGCTCCACTGCAATGCCCACAATCCTCCCTGCAATCGCTCCGATGGCCATGCTGGGGATGAACAAGCCTGACGGAACCTACAACAGAACAGAATACACGATAAGGCAGAGGTACTCAACTGCATGCTTGAAACTATGTTCTGTGGATTTCTTTCTAACACTTTTGCTTCTTTTCACATGACATAGCAAAATCCTAAAACTTTTAGCAAAATCTTACTATACAGTATCCTAACAATTCCATGAATTCAGTTACAAAATAACACATCACATTCTCTACTCCATTGGTTCTTAACCTGTGTGTCATGACCCCTTTGGGGGTTGAACGACCCTTTCACAGGGGTCACCTAAGACAATCGGAAAACACATATATAGTTACATGTTGTCTTTGTGATTAATCACTATGCTTTAATTATGTTTAATTTGTAACAATAAAAATACATCCTGCATATCAGATATTTACATTACAATTCATAACAGTAGCAAAATTACAGTTATGAAGTAGCAATGAAAATAATTTTATGGTTGGGGGTCACCACAACATGAAGAACTGTATTAAAGGGTCACAGCATTAGGAAGGTTGAGAACCACTGCTCTACTCCAAAGAGAAAATAAACCAAGGGTTATTTCTCTAGGTAGGAGTTCCTTAATGTCAACCCCTAACAAAATTTTCATTAGTACATGGTAAATGTGGAAAGAAAAAGAAAAGAACAGTACAAAGCACTTTTCATAATTCTAAATCAATTCAGTATTAAGTACTGCCTTTACTCCAAGATTATGTCCTTCCTATATATTACTTGTTTATAAAATGATAGAAAGACGCTATCCCTCTTAACTGGTACAATATAAAGTGGGCAATGTTATCAGGTGTCCCAATAACTGTGTAGTGATTTTATATTATCCTATATAATAAAAGCCTAATATGCTAAGTGTCCAGTTGACTAGTCAGCTGTTCAACCAAAGTGTAATATGCTAAGGCTGCTCAACCGCTTGCTATGACATGCACTGACCACCAGGGGAAAGACGCTTCAACTGGTAGGTTAGCTTGTTGCTGGGGTCTGGCTGATCAGGACTGACCGAGATGGACCGGACACGCCCTGGAGCCCTCCCGCGGTCCCTCCCTGGCTGGCCAACCTCTCATGTCTCTCCCCGGCCTCGATCATGCATCGGTGGGGTCCCTTGGCCTGGCCTGCGCCCTCTCGCAATCTGGGACCCCTCGGGGGATGTCGGAGAGCCAGTTTTGGCCCTATCCTGCAGGCCAGGCCGAGGGACCCAGCTTGGCTTCTAGTATATTTATATGTATACATGCATGCATACATTATATATACATTATATATATATACATATGTATATGTATAGATACATACATTTTTTTAGTCAATCAATATTTTTCTCCTTTTAATTCATACATATGAATCTAACGAGGATAATAGAAACAGTAAACACATTAAGCAAGATCATTTAAAAACTATTAAAAGACTAATAGCTCTAAACTGTTATGGATATGAAATAAGCTGAGCACAAAGTGTTGGCAAGTTGAAGAATATATCAGGTTCATTAACTGGATATCCAAATAGAAGGGGTCAAAATATGTTTTTTTATTTTCCTGCCAGGTAGATTCTTTGGCCAAAGCAGAGGGTAATAGGCCTCTGGTGTCCTGTAGCTCAACTAAGGGTGTGTTGTTTGCTGTTGTTTTTAGACAGTAAATCAACTTACTGTAGAAACAGGAGCTTTAACAACTCCTTTAATTTGATTCACTAAGAAGAAAAAGGAAAATTTCAAGGTTTTTCTAATAGTTAACTCTTATATTTAATTAATAATATTTAATTACTATAATTTGGACTAAACACAGAGGATAATACAAAAGAGACCATATTTCTGGTCAGGGGGCATACAAGAGTCACCAATGAATAAATAAGTGAGTGGTAAGATCCCAGGTGAATCACTTGCACCTCCAAGTCTGAGAAGTACTGCTTAAATAATTCTCTCTTTCTCCCCCCTGTCCTCTCTCCTTTTCTCTCTCTCTTTCTTTAAAAATAACTAAATAAAAATTTTAAAAAAACAACAAAAGACCATATTTCAACACCACTCCAATTTTGTTAAAATCAAGCTGTTAGTCTCCACAATGTACAGCTGTGAAAGCACACTAACACTAGAGAATATTAGTATATGAACTAGAGGCCCGGTTCACAAAAATTTGTGCACTTGGGGGGGGCCCTCAGCCCGGCCTGTGCCCTCTCGCAGTCTGAGACTCCTCAGGGGATGACCACCTGTTGTCTTAACTGGGCCTAAGCTGGCAGTCAGACATCCCTCTGGCAGCCCGGGAGCCCTCGGGGGATGTCCATTTGCCAGCGGGGAGCAGGCCTAAGCTGCAGTCGGACATCCTTAGCACTGCTGAGGAGGCGGGAGAGGCTCCCACCACCACCACCGCTGTACTGGCAGTCGTCAACCTGGCTTGTGGCTGAGCAGAGCTCCCGCTGTGGAAGCACACTGACCACCAGGGGGCAGCTCCCACATTGAGCATCTGCCTCCTGGTGGTCAGGATGCGTCATAGTGACCAGTCATTCCTAGTCGTTCTGCTATAATAGGAGTGCCTGGCCAGCCTGGGTGAGGGGCTGATGGCTGTTTGCAGGCTGGCCACAGCCCCTTCAGTTTGGGGGTCCCCCATGGGGTGCCTGGCCAGTCTGGGTAAGGGGCTGAGGGCGATTTTCAGGCTGGCTAAGCCCCCCAGCAGGGACCCTGACCCCATGAGGGTGTGACCAGCCTGGGTGAGGGCTGATGACTGTTTGTAAGCTGTCCACGGCCCCCAGCCACCCAAGCTCTCAGTGGAGGCTGGCTGGAAGCAGGTATCTGGGATTTATATGTCTTCTATAATTGAAACTTTGTTGCCATGAGGGGAGCCCACAGCCAGCTCAGGGCCAGCGGGAAGCTTGGCTTCCTCCATTGCCCAGGCAACCAAGCCTCCTGCTTGCTCCAGCTCCGTGGCTGCCGGCTGCCCTCTTGGTTGGGTTAATTGGCATATAGTTGCTCTGATTGGCTGATGGGCGTGGCTTGGGGCATAGCAAAGGTACAGTCAATTAGCATCTTTGTCTTTTATTAGTGTAGATTACAGGTAGAGTAATTTAAAGAACAAGGATTAGCTGACATCTGATATACATCACTGACAGTCACATTAATAGAATTATATTTACTGGCAAATCACTATCAAATGTTATTCTCACTTTCATAAGTTAGAAAAAAACAATGTCCCAGGGAATAAGGACCAAGTCCTTGATGGAAAAAGGCTTTGGGCGCCCTAACTGATTTGGCTCAGTGGATAGAGCGCTGGCCTGTGGACTGAAGGGTCCCAGGTTTGATTCCGTCAAGGGCACATCTCCAGTAGGGGGTGTGCAGAAGGCAGCTGATCAATTTTTCTCTCTCACTGATGTTTCTAATTCTCTATCCCTCTCCCTTCCTCTCTGTAAAAAATCAATAAAATATATATTTTTTTTTTTTAAAAAAGGCTTTGGGCTTAGTAATGTAACTCTTGCTTCAGCAGTGTCCTTTCAAGGTAACCCTTACAGGGATACGGTAAAGTAGAAAAGTGGCTTCCTAAAGATATGAATATCCTGATTCTTGTGAATTCATTATGTTATGTAGCAAGGAGAAATTAAGGTTGGAGACAGAATTAAGGTTGTTAATCAGCTGACCTTCAAACTGGAGATTATCCTGGGTTATCTGGCTGGGCCCAAAGTAATAATAAAGGTGTTTTAAATGTGGAAGGATTTAGAAGAGTGAGTTCCAGAATGATGAGGTAAAGAAAGACTTGACCATCTGTTGCTGGCTTTGAAGATGGAAGAAGGGGGCCATGAGCCAAGGCATATGGGCAGCCTCTAGAAGGTGGGAAGGGGGGTGGGATCCCTGTCAATACCTTAATGTTAGCCCAGTAAGGCCGATTTTTGATTTATCTCCAGAAATGTAATAAATTTGGGTGATTTTAAGCCACTAAATTTATGCTAATTTATTACTGCAGCAATAGTAAACTAATAAATGGTTTAGAAATATGAATTTTCTAACACTCCTCCCACTAAATGGTAGAACATATATCCCGCCCCCTGTGCCTTGGTGGGCCTTTGTGGCTGTCTGGACAAACAGTACACAATAGAAGGCATGCTGTATGACTTCTTTGGCTAGGTTAGAAACGGTCCTCTTGGGACACTTGCATTTGGAAACCTGAGCTACCATGTAGGAAATCTAACCACCCTGAGGCCACCATGCCAGAAAAACCACAGAGGGAGAGATGTTAGAAAAGGCCAGATGTTCCAGCTCTAGCTGTCTGAATTTTCTCAGACCAGGTGCCAGACAGATGAATGTCTATGAGATGAGCAGCCTTAGCCATGTCTCATGACAACTGTATGAGAAACCAAAACATGCCAGCTGAGTCCTTAACCAAATCAGACCATTATCAAAAGCAAAATAAGTTATCATAAGCTGCTAGATTTGGGAGTAATTTGTTAAAATTAACAGATACCATGGCTCAACAATATATCCTAAGGATTTCTTTTTTTTTTTCATTTCTTAAAATTGAACCCAAAAATAAGAACTTTTTCAGGCCACGGTTATGAAACAACCACCTTTACATAAAAATTTCATCTCTCATTCCACATACAAGTTTTGATCATGCCAAGATTAGTTAAACATCACCCCACATTGGCACTTACCTTGATACCAAAAGTGAATACTGTCATTATGATTTTAAATATGAGTGCTAAGCATAACTGCCATATAGCTGAATATACTCCGACGCCTGCTGGACGATCAGGAATATCATCAACAATTTTGCTGGCATTCATGTCATTTCTGTAGTCACAAAGAGAAGAGGATTCCAGGGGCCCACAGTCTGTAAAAAGCTCTCTAATCAGTTCACTGGTGTTGAGCCTAGTATATGGATTAGGGAAAGCTATCACAGCAGTGATGGCTGCAACAATAATGACTTCAAGGACAGGATACTTTCCAAATTTGGTGGATTTGCGTCGACGACACCACGCTATATTTGCCCTAATGAAAAAGGCTCCCCAAAGCCCTCCAAATACCCCGAGGAGAATAAAAGGAAACAGTTCAAAAAGGTACCATGGTGTATGATACTCCACATAAAAAAGGACCAGACGGCTATTACCAAATGGATTAATGGATCTCAAAACAAATGCAGCAACTAAAGCAGCAAAAAATGATCTCCATAAAGTTTTAAGAGGAAAATAATAGCTAACCTAAAAAAAAAAGAGAAAGAAAAATTAATGATATAATTTTATAAAATGTTTCTGATATAACTTGAATAGTAAATATCATAGCTCTAAATTTTGCCGCCACGAGAATTTACATAGAATGGATTTCACTATGGTAAGAAAAATATTGATGTTTTTCTTTAACTGTCACTTCATTATACATTCATAATATCAACTAGTCATAAATGTCTAATAATTATTTAAAGTACCTAGCATTTCATATTTTCAAAATGAATTTCACTTCCAATCATAGTAGTTAACAACAAATGTACTGCAACCAGCTCCTGTTAGCTCATACAGAAGTATTTGATTTACCTCTTCTATATTAAATTTTAAAAAGAGGAAAAAATAAAAATAACTAAAAAAGTACATTTTAAAATATTCCTACTCATATTTTTGTGTAAATGTGTAAAAAGTCTTAAGCACCAAAGAGAAAACAAAAATAAACTATTCTACTAAAGCAACTAAAATGATCTCCTCAAACATCAATAACTGCAATATAAATAATCACAGAAGAAAAACTTACAAAGATGATTTAGGAATTAAAAAATTTAAATAAAAAGGCTATATTTAAGGTAATAGAGATAGATCGTTTTAAATATTTCTTTATTAAGTCAAATTCATATCTGCTTACTTTAATATGTCAGCAAAGTTAAATTTTAAACAATAACTAATGTTTGTAAATAATATATTTTTAAAAATTTTCTCAAGGTAAAGAACATATATAGTATATTACCTTTTATGTATGAGTGAAAAATAAGTTTATGAAAATAAATTTGAAAACTTAAAAACAAAGTCTATACCTACTACACTAGATATAAAACTGAAAAGTATGCTAAAATATACTTTAATGGTATTATATACAACTTTAATATATGTTCTTTTTTTTAACCTACCTCTTCCAGGCTAAAAAGAACTCCTCCGATCGGTGCACCAAAGGCCACAGAAACACCTGCAGCTGAGGCAGCTGAGAGCACCTAAAAAAAAAAAAAAAAGATGTGGTTTATTTCGTGTTTTTATAGTTCAAACATATGCCAAATAAAAATTCTTCACATTACTCGAATTTTCGAAATGACTTCTGAATTTAACTCATGTCTCCCTCCCCCCCAAGCAAATGCAAATATGTATTTCCTCTAAAAAGATTTTTTTATCTTCTGCTTTAATTAAAAGGTCAATCATATATTCAATATTCAGTAAAAAAACAACACATCTTATGCGAGATATGCTAATATAAATGGGATATAAAAAAGAGGCAATAAATACAGCCAACTTTCAAGATGTCTGTGAAGACCGGTGGAGAGAGTAGTAACTGGTTTGAGGGGAGAGTTTATGTATTTTTATTTATTTTTTAATCCTCACCCAAGGATATTTTTCCATTACTTTTTAGAGAAAGTGGAAGAGAGAGGAAAAGACAGAAATATTGATGTGAGAGAAACACATTGATTGGTTGCCTCCTGCACATGCCCCAACAGACCAGGGCCAAGGCTGGGGAGGAGCCTGCAACTGAGGTATATCTACTACACCAGATATAAAACTGAAAAGTATGCTAAAATATACTTTAATGGTAATTGTATATAACTTTAATATATGTTCTTTTTTTTAACTGGAATCGAAGTCGGGACCCTTCAGTTCACAGGCCAATGCTCTATCCACTGAACCAACTGGCTAGGGCTGTTTACTTATTTTTAAATAGGATATAATTTCTTCATATTTTAGAGCTAACTGCATCATCTACATATGTAAAAGGCTACGTGTCCAACTGTACATCCATCCGACCGTCCAACCAAACAACCGGCAGGTACATATGAGGCACACTGGCAATTTAAAAATAAACATTGACTCGTGAATGTGCGATACACATAAAGCTCTCGCTGGCACCAATTGCACGCATTTTAATTTATAATACTATATTATATATACTATTTTGACATGTAATTTTTTGCAGTAACATAATTACTGCACAAATCTTTCTTCTAATTAATTTCCTTTCAATATACATGAATCCATGCACCGGGCCACTAGTCATTAATAACTGCCTTAGTCCAAATCCTAGTAAAATATCCAGGGATCTTAAAAACTACTGAGTTTCCCTATGTTTTCACTACCCTAAGTCCTCTAAAAATACTGCCACTACCAATATGGAGAGCCTTCAGCACAAACAATGGCTGCCCCTTAGGATACAGCCTCACCAGCCAGAATCATATAATAACCTCTCTTGTGGATCTTCTCTGCAACTTCCTGGTCTGTCACTTGGACACTGCCCAAGTCCCACCAGTGTGAAGCCAACTACACATTGGGTATCTATTTCTAATTGCTTTTCTAAGAGTCTTTATTCTTTTCACTACTTCAGTAAATATTTGAGGCTACCAAAGCATTTCCTCAAATGGTCAAGTTTTACATTTCTGAAAAAGAAATTAGAAATCATCAAAATTAAATTGTAAATGATTAAGAGTACAAACTACATAGTCAGGTTACTGTTTGGTAAATTAAAAATAAGTAGGTGTTTTAATTAAATCGTATCTGGCTTTAAAAATACAGACTTTGCTTATTTAGGGAAGAAGTGTGAGAAAATTTAACTTACTTTCTGTTTTGTTTTTCCCATTAATGGAACTGCAGACAACATATTTAACTGAATTTTCTAATTCTACATTTAATAAAATAGAATTTTACAATCAAACTAACACCCATAACACATATTTTAATCTTTAGTATTTTAGAATCATTTAATTAAAAAATGTCGAAGAAGTGGGTATAGGAAGAAAGACAAAATATGAGGCTTTAATGCTTTCACTAACAAGTACCCTAACAAGTAAACTCTAGACATTTATATACTAAGGTGACAGAATAAAATTGTCATAAACATTACTAAACATCACAGTGTGTATATTAAAATTCAGATGAATTAAATTTCTATAACAGTTTCTAATAAATTACATTTTTCACTTAAAATGAATAAATAAAAATACAAATCTTACCCCCCAAATTGTCATGGTACCATAGCAACTAAAGGAATTGAACTGGGGAGACAAATACTATAGTTCCATTTAACCATTAACTTGCCCTTCTATAGTATAGTTTAGGTTTTGCGTTGAGAAGACATAAACACATGTCCACACAGTCATAGTAGTAGTAGTAGTAGTAGGATAGTTAAGAGTATAGACTTTAGAGTGGAAGAAAAATAAATTTTAATCTACACTCTGACATGTATCTTGGGCAAATTAGCCAAGATTTAGTTTAGTTACCTATCTATAAATGAGAATAATAATGCCATGTTAATAGGATTATCGTGGGATTAAATTTTAAGATGCAAGTAAAGAATATGACATAGAACCAGATAAATAGTAAGTAATCAATAATAATGTTAGTTATCCTAATTACATAACAGCGATTTTCAACCAGTGTGCCATGAGAATTTTTAAAACATGCAACACCTAACTATTTAGTCAGGGATACTGGCCTCTTTTCCCTTTTGACAAATAAAAAAAAAATGACAACAGCCAATACAATAGCCTTCCGGTGTGAATGAATCAAAATTATACCTATTTTTTGTCAGATTGGCAAAAAAATACATTTTTTTGGTGTGCTGCAGAATTTTAATAATTAGTTTATGTGTGCCATGAGATGAAAAAGGTAGAAAATTGCTGTTATATACAGAATAGTACTGAAATCACAATTATCATCCAGATAGAGCAATGATGCTCTGAAATGTTCCACTTTTAGACTACTGCAATGCAAGGACGTTTCAGTGCTAACATTAAAATGAACTGGAATTATATCAATTGAGGAATTAAATAGTTTGATAAAAATATTCTACTTTTTTCATTGTAGTATAAAAAACAACAGGCTGAAAGCTCTTCCTATGCTAGGGCCAGAAACCCCTGAATTCTCAATATTTAATGAGATATAAAATACTGTACCTTAAAACCCCAAAGGGCTCTGCACCATCTAGGACTGCAGATTAGACTGGGAAAACTGGATGGGATTGGGCCTGCAAGTTTAGAGCTAACACAGAATATCCCAGGAGCCTACTTTCCTTCTAGAAGACATCCAGAGCAATTTAGAAACATCAGGGAAACTCTGTAAGATGTAAAGTTTTAAGACCTCCGGACCTAGACGATCTCAGGCTGGCCTTTTAAAAAATGGTAAAAGAAACTTCCCTGAACAACTGAATAAAGAGGAGTTCCTACATCTCCTTTAATGTAAATCTCTGATTTAAACCTCAGGCAGTCTAGAGGCCCTCAGAACTGCCCCTGGTGCCAGACAGCTCTCTGCAGATGACACACACACCCACTGGCATCAGACACTCCTCCCAGAGGAAAACACAGCTGTTAAGATTTCCAACCCTGGAGAAATAATTATGGTGAGGGCGAAGAGTAAAATAATACTACATTTGAGAAATGCTTCAGAGGAGAGGAGGTATAAGGCAGAGCACTTAGCGATTATTCACAAAAAGAAAAGGAAGCAACCATTTTCCCCTTGTAATTTTAATCTGAACACAAAATGTATCCAAAAAGTAAAGAGTAAATGTGATTTTTACACTAGAAAATTCTTCAACTGAATTAAGTGTATATGACATATATTTATACATCAAATAAACTAGAAAAGGCACTTACCTCCCTTTTTTTAGCTTCATTTGTGCTATACTTTGGAAAGAGGTAAGAAAAAATATTTCCACAACAACAGGCAACATGTACCAGGGGACCTTCTTTTCCTAAACTCAATCCTGATGCCACAGCCAGTACTAATGTGATGGTTTTAATCATTAAAGTCCATTTGCCCAAGTAACCTCTGATGATGAATCCACTCAAAATAGTTTTAATCTACAAAGGAAAGATTAAGACAGATTGATATAAAAAAAAACCAAACACAAAACATGAGAACTTAACTAACTTAAGTTACTCTCTTGTTTTACTCAGAATACCACCTCATAAATTTTGGTGGACTATGAACAATTTACAATTAATTTTTCAAAAGCTTTAACTAATATGCTACATATAATAAATTTATATCATATTCTAACACTGTCCCAAGCAAGGATAGAAGGCAACCCTATCTCACCAACAAAACTAAAATATCAGGCCACGTTCAAGGGAATACAGACCTTAATACAAGATATATAACTACAAACCAGAAAAAGACAAATTTGAATATCTGTTGTAGAAATATAATAGTTAGATATTTTTCAGACATTTTGTGTCAGAAATAAAGATATTATGCCTTCTCAGTATGTAAATTATATGTAATATTTATCTATACGTTAAGTGACAACTGTTAAATACTGTATGATATTGCTCCTTATTTAAGATATTCTTTTTTAAAAAAATATATTTTATTGATTTTTTTACAGAGAGGAAGGGAGAGAGATAGAGAGCTAGAAACATCGATGAGAGAGGAACATCGATCAGCTGCCTCCTGCACATCTCCCACTGGGGATGTGCCCGCAACCCAGGTACATGCCCTTGACCGGAATCGAACCTGGGACCTTTCAGTCCGCAGCTGACGCTCTATCCACTGAGCCAAACCGGTTTCAGCAAGATATTCTTAATAGACTTTGAAAATCACTACAATTTAGCTTTTAAAAGAAATGCACTAGAAAAAGTGGTAAATTATTTAACACAGAAAAATACAAAGTGGGGGAAAGAAATGAGTTGATATGATGTTCAATCCTAACTATAGCCTCCTTTACCGTTGATAAACAATAAAACACAAAAGTTTGTGCTATTGACTCACTATGACCCAATGTTTATTTTAAAGTATAAAATGGTTATAAATATTATTTGCCAAATCCAAGAATTAATTTATTTAAAATATATTTATATAGAAAAAGAGAAAGAATGTATTTAAATCAAAACATCAATTTATCAAATAACTTCAGGCTACAAGGTAATTCTTCAGGTTCTTGGGGTCTAAGTAAGTTTTTTGTTGTTGTTTTTTTTTAATATATTTTATTTATTTTTTACAGAGAGGAGGGGAGAGAGATAGAGAGTTAGAAACATCGATGAGAGAGAAACATCGATGAGCTGCCTCCCGTACACCCCCCACTGGGGATGTGCCTGCAACCAAGGTACATGCCCTTGACCGGAATCAAACCTGGGAACCCCCAGTCCACAGGCGGATGCTCTATCCACTGAGCCAAACCAGTCAGAGCCTAAGTAAGTCTTATGCTATTTGGTTAGCCATGTGATAAATTAGTGTTAAGAAAAAACAAATCAACCTCCAAGGTAAATGGTGAAATGACTACAGGGCAGAATTTCTTTCGATGTCTACAATAAGCTTACATTTTTTAAACTTTTCTTTTTTGTTTTTTAAATATGTTTTTATCTTGTTTTTTTTTAAATATATTTTTAGTGGTTTCAGAGAGGGAGAGAGAGATAGAAACATCAATGATGAGAGATAATCACTGATCGGCTGCCTCCTGCAGACCCCATTGGAGATGGAGCCAGCAACCTGGGCATGTGCCCTTGACTGGAATCGAACCTGGGACCCTTCAGTTTGCAGGCTGACACTCTACCCACTGAGCCAAACCAGCTAGAGCTAAACTTTTCTTTTTTTATATTACAAACAAACCATTCCCCCAACCCAAAAAAACCACACAACTACTTTCCCTTGAAGCAAAAAAGATAGTCATCATAACAATTACTAAATGTTTAATGATACTAAATACTGTATGGCTTACCTCTGGAATTCCTGAGCCACAGGCATATGGAGCAAATACCTTTACCAAAGAAACAGCAAGAAAGGCAAAACTCAAGGCCCAGAAGATGTACATTATGTAGTTCATGATGTAAGAACCAGGACCCTATAAAGCAAATAGTTCAGTAGTATGAATTTAATTTATAGTGCACCACTAATGCAAGTGCTTGCCTCATAAGAAATGGGTAGAACTTGTAAAGGCTCCTGGTTTACTTCCAAATAATAAAAGCTTTACATGAACAAACATTTAAGTAGAATCCAAAAACATATTTGTATCCATCCCAAGGAGACTTAGTCTTATTGTGCAGAGCCTCAACTATACTTTAATCTCTAAAATTCAGCTATAACCAATTTTTAAAAACATATCCATATATGATCCTATAACAATATATATACTAGAGGCCCAGCACACGAAATTGTGCAGGTAGGGTCCCTAGGCCTAGCCTCCATCTTTCGCCCATTCGGCAGTCCCCAGGCCAAATGCTGCCTCTGTTGCAGGGCTGTCAGGCTGTTGGGATCACCAGCTCATGCCCGGCTGCTCAGGGACTCAGGCTTGTGGGAAAGCAGGTGCAGGCGACTTCACCTCCATGCGCGTGCGCCAGGCTGGCCGCTGATGGAACACGCTGCCTGTTGGGGGCGCTCACGCGGCGCCACCGCTGCTGTGGCTTGAGGCACTGATGGAAGCTGCAGGGTGCGCCCACAACCTTGCTGCTCTGCCGTGAGCGGCCCCAAGCAGGCAGCGCATTCCATCAGCGGCCAGGCCAGCACACACGCATGGAGGTGAAGTCACCAGCGCCTGCTTTCCCGCGGGCCTGACCCCCTGAGCAGCCAGGGATGAGCTGTTGATCCCAACAGCCTGACAGCCAGTCCAGTCTTCCCACCATCCACCCCGGTCCTGCCCCCCCATTCACCATCACTGATCCATTGGAACCTGGAGTTGGGGGCAGGGACCAAGAGGTCAGCCGTTCAGCCTACTCACCAGTCCCCAGTCCCGCCCCGCTCTGCTCACGGGCCAGGGGGGAGGGACCAAGAGGTACTCAATGCACCACATGGTGACCAGTTGTTTGGTCATCCTGGTCATCATGAACACTGGTTTTTTATTTATATAGACTAGAGGCCTGGTGCACAAATTTGTGCACAGGTGTGGTCCAGCTGGCCCCGCCCCAGATTGGGGTGGGGGGCCAATCAGGGGTGGGGCCGGCCAGGGAGAGGGGCTGTGGGCGATTGGCCAGCCTCGTCCACTGGTCAAATTCCCAGTTGAACTCCCAAAGGGACAATTTGCATATTAGCCTTTTATTATATAGGATAATATTCTAACTCCTAAAATGTTCATTATAGAACATCAAGAACAGGATAATAATCACTTCAATACTGTAATGCCATGAAGAAAAATCTATGGATTTCTCCAAGGTATCTCCAGTTAGGCCTTATTTTACTAAATTTTTTGATAATTCATACTTCTCAAATAATTGTGAAGTAATATGTTAAGCAGCTTTAGTAACCTAACTTCATGACAACTGTTTGTGGTTGTTACACAGATCCTACTGCACTTCTTTTCTAATAAGAAATACATTTCACATCATAGCCCAGTAGACTCGTATGTGACTGTATGATTAATACAAGAGTTTCTTGAAACAATACTTACATTTTACTTGCTGCAAAGTAGTCTCATATTTTCATTCTATCCTATTACATTTCTTTCTTTTTTCCCCTTTAATGCAGGTTGCAATCATCTAATATGTGATTAACTCTATAATTAAATGATTTTAGAGATTCATTTCTCTACAGCAATTTTTAATTCATCTTGAGACAAAGAAGACTTACCTCTGCTTGACCTATAATTAACTCTGCCCATGTTTTCCACTGTGGACATTTATCCCTCTCCTCAAATGTTGTTTCACTAGATCCCCAACAACACTGTTCATGGTTGTACCACAAAGCATTAAAGCAAATGCCTTCCTTGAGGTCAGTCATCCAATCAGCAGCAATGTCTATTAATCCAGCCAATGCCCCTATAAAAACAAGTCAGAGTGGTAAAAAATTAAGTTTATTTTTGGAGTTAAGAACTATCAAGTTAAAAAAGCCAAGGAAAACAGGGACTCCCAACAAATAAAGGGTCACATCGGTAATATAATATGAATTTAAGATTTTTAAATTTTCATTATCATAAGTTTATACTACTTTTTAAAAACTGTAAATTCTTTAAAACTGTCATTTTTTGTTTGAAATTAAAACTAGTTACATCATTCAAATTAATTGTGATTTTTTTAAAAAGGTGTTTAAAAGATACTAAAACATATTCAAAAGACAGCTACTTGGCAGAGGTTCACAAACCTGGTTATTGAAGTCAGAGTTTTTACTAGTATGTTTCAATCCAAAACTTAACAGAATCAATTTAATGTCCATTAGAAATAATTAATGAAACTCCTAGCATTAATTACTGTGATAGATTTTCATTTTTTTCTTAAATATCAAAAGATCAAATATATCAAGATCATTTACTGAGAGGATATAAAAAAATACATAAATTTATGGCCAAAATCTAGGTCCTTTCACCATATAAAAAGATCAATGAGTCACATAATTCTTGTGCATGTCATTTAGAGTTATCAGTAGTTCCCTCTATTCTCCACACAAATTTTAATTTTTTCTCATGCTCTTCTGGACATAATCTTCCACAGTGGAAGCTGAAAGTCATTAAAACAGTCCTTACTATTTGTTTTCAGATCTTCAATGCTATTCTTAAAAATCTCACACACACAGGCTTTGTGGTTACTCTAGCATACACGGTGGTTAAAAGTGTAGGCTCTTGAACTAAACCGCCTAAATTTAAATCTTTGGCCATTTATTAACCTCTGTCTGTGCTTCAGTCCCCTCGTCTGTAAAATGGTGATAATAATAACATATATACCAGAGATTTTCAACCGGTGAGCTGCAAGAATTTTTAAAACATGCAATACCTGACTATTTAGTCAGGGGCACTGACCTCTTTTCCCTTACACTATCAAATAAAAAAATGACAACTTGCCAGTACAATAGCTGTATGGTGTGAATGAATCTAAAGAATACCTATTTTTGCCCCGGCTGGCATGCTCAGTGGTTAGAGCACCGGCGAGTGCACCGGGTTTGATTTCCAGTCAGAGGCATGTATCTGGGTTGTGGGTTCGCTCCTCACCCCAGTTGATGTGTCTCTCCCACATCGGTGTTTCTCTCTCTCTACCTCCCCCTCCACTACCTCCCCTTCCTCTTCCTCCTTCCCTACCTCCCTCCACCCCTCTCTGAAAAAGCAATGTAAAATATCCTCTGTTGAGGATCAACAACAATAAAATGATACCTATTTTTGTCAGATCAGCAAAAAATACATTTTTGGTGTGCCACAGAATTTTAGTAATTAGTTTATGTGTGCCATGATATGAAAAAGGTTGAAAATCACTGACATATACCATAGAATTGTATGAGGCTTACATATACATAAAGCTTTTAGAGCAGTGTATGACACATAGGAAGCACTCAATAAATATTACTTACTTATTATGAAGTTAACTTTAAAAGATATTGATAATCTGGTCCAAATCATGTACTTTACAGACACAGAAACTGAGCCCAGAAAGATTTAAAAAATTGAATAGAGCCAAAATGAGATGCAGAAGCCTCCTGCCTTCTAATCTTGTGTTTAAGAAGAGTTTTGGAGGAAAGAAAGAAAATAAAAATGATTTTGAAAACCCAACAATACCTGAAAAAAAACTGTGGAAAGGAGAGAGACCTACTTATTGTTCTGTTAACCAGAAAAGGACGGCATTAAAAGTTTCCTTACCGGATGCCAATCCTGTCAGTGTTACCACTAGCCATCCTGACCACGCATCATACAAGCTTTTCGTCATCTCCCATGCTGACTCTTTCTTTTTGCTGTTGATCTGAAATTAGAAATGCTTATGCTTCATTTTCAAACTATGACTAGAAGCCACAATTCTAGAATATAACAATTTTCTCATTGCACACAGGACAGTACTTTCTATACTAAATAATGGGGAAGGTGAGTTTGGGGCGGAAACACTATCAGTTGCTATATCTGTAAACCAATGACAAACATTTACCCAGAGATACATATTTTAGTAAGAACTTCAGAATTTGAGCCAAGGGATCCATCCAAAAACCATATAAAGTATGACCCAGACTGGTCTAAACCGTATCAAATTTAGCTGGTATGCATCTTTTATATTCACAGAAATAAGGCATTAAAGCTTGAAATGTGGATCATTCCCTAGTCATCTCTGCTCCTAGAAGCTAAGTGGATTATTACTTTAAAAGGTAAGGTCAGTGAATAACAGGTCCATGCCCATTAATGTAGTACAAAACAATCATGTAAATAAAGGGACTATAAAAATAAATTTACAAATAAATGTATAGGTCTGTAAATATGCAGGAATGAAGAGCTCCCATCCCACTGGCAGGTCCAGAGGCCCTCCTTTATCACTGTGTAAGGCAGATGTATCCTCCACTAAATATTGTGGAGGAGGTGAAGTTAGCATGGTGTTAACAGGTTTGATTTCCAGATCTCACTCCACTAAGACACAGGAAGCCAAGTCCTCCTCTCTTAATAAGAATGCACTTCTAAACCTAAACCCCTGTTTTACTAGGATTGCTGCTTTAAAAAGCCATGTTCTAGAAAGACATGTACCATCCGATTCCTCTCATATGTGGAATCTAATGAATAAAATGAACTAACAAGCAAAAAGGAGACAGATTCAAAGATAGAGAGCAGGCTGACAGCTGAGGGGTGAGGGGCTGAGGAGGGGGTAGAGGGATTGAACAAAAAAGAAAGAAAAAAACTCATGGACACAACAGTGTGTTGATTACTGGGGGAGGGGTTGAGTGGGGGAGGCTGGAGGAGGGTATGAGGGGATAAATGGTGGTGGGCAGAGACTTGACTTGGGGTGGTGAACACACAATATAGTACAGATGATGTTGTGTGGAACTGTGCACCTAAAATCTGTACAATTTTGATAGCCAGTGTCACCCCAATAAATTCAATAAAAAAGGGGGAAAAGCCATATTCTAGAAACTTCATTACTACTAGCACAGAGATAAAATTGGCTAAAAAAGGGGGGGCAGGGGGAGCAATATCCTCTGAGTAGGACTTCAGTGCTCAATTGTCCCCTAGAAGGGCACCAGCAAGAGCTTTATATGTATCGTGCATGTGCGAGTCAACTTAGCCTTTTATATAATAAACTTGCTGAATTAGACCTGCTCCAGCACTGCTGTGAGGATCAACTGAGATGAAGCATGTGAAAATGCTTCACAGATGCTTGGTTAAACTGTAAAATGTTTGCACCTGGCTATAAAGCAAGTTTAGTTCCTGGGCTGAAGAAACTCCAAGGAAGCTAGTGGCTAGGGAGAGAAAGCTGGACATTGCTACATGACGCCATTACCTGGCACCCACAGCCACTGTCTCCAGGCTGGGCTGTGGGCCGCATTTTGCGCCATGGGGTCTTGGCAGCGTTGGTTGCAATTTGGTGGGGTGTCGCTCCGGGGTGGTGGTGGGATGTGTCCCATTTGGGGGATGCAAGTGTTTGTGGGCACTGGGTCCACGCTGCTGTTTCTTTGTAAATGGCCAGTGCGCATCATGACAGCGCCTGCCCTCTGGTGGTCAGTGTGCATCATAGCTACCAGTCGGATGGTTGGATGGACACTTAGACTTTTATATATAGATTGCAGACCATAAAGTTACAAAGGGCTTTTTGGAATTTAAAATTTTGCTGTCAAAGAGATTTCTTTCTTTCTACCTCTTTTTTTAAAAAATGTATTTTTGAATTACATTATACCAGTAAGTCACAACCCATAACAAGAAAGATCCATAAGTTGTACTCTTTAATAAAAGCTGTTTTTTTGAATAGTGATTCATTACAACACTCATTATCAATTTGAGAAACATTTCAGAATTTAAAAACTGAGAAAAGAGATAAAAGAGCAACACTGCATAAAACTATGTCCCCAGAAAGTAATTACTTTTGAATAATGAGAATTATGTAATGCTTCCTGTTTTGCCATAGCTGCTGTGCTGATCAAAGCCCAAAATCATGCTGACTTCCAAATCTTGAACTTGGCTTAATCTTCCCCCCCTAGTGGACCCTGTTTTCCTTTCTATTTTGTCTTACTACACACTTTTTTTTTAAGCTACCTCAAATCCTTTCTGGAAAGATATGGGGTATAAACAAACTTTAAAAAAATGCTTAAAATAACTTTAATGCATAACATATATTTTGACAGTCTGAGATCATTGGCAGAAATATATTACTAAAGTATCTAATTATGACTACATTTTTGTAAGTAACTGAAAATACTTACCCGTCTATGCCTTTCTCTATCTTTACATTTCTCCCGGACCCAATCAATAGTATGGAAATCATCATAAGTACCAACGCCTGGAATTGGTTCATCCAAAAGATCCAGTAAATGTGTAGAACTGTTAATGCTGCCTCCATTTGTCATTGTGTAATGAGTTCCTATAAGCAAAAGAGGAATAATGATTATGTTTTATGAGAAACAATGGTGAACTATGTAACCTACTTACAAGTTCATTTATAATATTATCACTAGAAATCATTACAATAGAGAAATTAAGAAAATGACCCAAGTTAAGAAAAAATTATGTAAAATTTATGTAAAATTATGTAAAATTCGGAAATAAGGCAAAGTGATTATGGCATGTCCTTTTTAAAAATATATATATATTTTTATTGATTTCTGAAAGGGAGTGATAGAAACATCAATGATGAGAGAGAATCATTGATCAGCTGCCTCCTGCACACTCCCAGCTAGGGATCGAGCTCACAACCCAGGCATGTGCCCTTGACTGGAAGCGACCCTGGGACCCTTCAGTCCACAGGCCGATGCTCTAGCCCAGCTGTGGGCAAATTATGGCCCGCGGGCCGGATCCAGCCCATTTGAAATGAATAAAACTAAAAAAAAAGGAAAAGACCATACCCTTTTATGTAATGATGTTTACTTTGAATTTATATTAGTTCACACAAACACTCCATCCATGCTTTTGTTCCGGCCCTCCAGTCCAGTTTAAGAACCCATTGTGGCCCTCGAGTCAAAAAGTTTGCCCACCCCTGCTCTAGCCTCTGAGCCAAACCAGCCAGGGCATCTTTCATACTCATACTAGAGTATCAAAAATAAGCCTTCCTCATAGACTCTAGTCCAAGACCACTAAGTAAGTTTGGACAAGTCATCTTTAAATGTTAAATATCCTATATATTAAAAGGGTAATATGCAAATTGACACTACCAGCCAAACAACCGGGAACTACCGGTCACTATGATGCACACTGACTACCAGGGAGCAGATAAGCAAAAGAGGGGAGCACCACTCAACCAGAAGCCAGGTCATGGCTGGCCAGAGCAGCGGCAGTGACGGGACCCTCTCCTCCCTCCCCGGCAGCGCTAAGGATGTCTAACTAATGGCCTAAGCCAGCGAAAATCCCTCAAAAGCTCCCCCGCAGGTTGGGCTGAGGGACCCAACCCCCAAATGCATGAATTTTGTGCACCAGGCCTCTAGTATAATATAAAGTGTATACACATAGTAAATAAGCAACACATAAGAATCAGCTATCTTATTGTAACCATTTTCTAACCA